ATGAGATCATTTTTAGGCAAATATCCTGTTTCACGTGTTCTGTAGAAATCAACCTCCTGCTCCTTCTGTTCCTGCTTCGCGCTGTCTAAAAGATGAAGGAAATTAGTAACATCAGCAGAAACTTCATCAAGTTTCTGCACAGCCTCCTCCAGTCGCTTCAAGTTGGGATCTCTTTTGATAACTCGGTTGCCAATTTTGACGAGTTTTTTCTTCATGGATTTCATGATGGAACGCACCCTTCTCAGCTTCTTGTTTTTGGTCAGCTGTTTTTCAAGTTCCATGTACTCCAGATCATCAACCACGTCATCTGCATCATCAATGGCATCTTGTAGCTGCCATAGCCATTCGTTAAGAGCCGGATTTTTGTCTGTGATCTGCTCTTGGCTGGAAGCAAAGTGGACGACAGCTTGGATCTTGGGGTACTTCTCTCGCAGCCTTTGCAGCTCCTCCTTCGTGCGTTTCTTCCATCTGACTTGATCTTCCACGTAACGGAAGCAAAAGCTGATGATCTTCTCCATAATTGGATCAAGAGACATATCCGCCATGGCAACGACGATCGATGTAGGGCAGAACAACTGAACAGCAAGAAAAAAAAAAGGAGGTTGGAAGAGATAAGATTAGATAGTCTACCGGCTCACGACTCCAATTCTTTTCTCTGATTACTTTTTGCCAGAATCCAATTCTTTTCTCAAAGGAAAGCCACATGAAGGCGATTGGACCCCATATAGTGGATTTTTGACAAGGAACGCATTTCTAATATAGCTTTTGAAAAGAGAAATAGTTGGGTGGGAACTAGAAAGTAATACTCAGTGTAACACTGAGGTAGTTTATACTTTGATTCAAAATATCCAAGAATATTTTACAGGATATGTTACTGGTAATAGAGATCAGATGTGATCTCTATGACAAAAACTTAAATGTCCAACATTAACCCATTTCGTTGGTACTAGGATCAATTTCTTGCTAGGTTTATGAATCTTCAAGATGCTAGCAACGATTATTTGAAGCTAAAATTTGTTGAATGATTACCTTTAACCTTTTGCTGAACATGACAAATGAAATCTTTATGATAATATAAGAAACTTCTCTTTAGATTATCTTATCTTTGGTAATATTATTAACCAGTGTATTAAAACTGACATTGTTCCCTACGATGATATTAAAATGAATCGATAGATTCATGAAGAATGAATTTTTGAGAAAAAACAACTTGGAGCATTTTGTAAACAATTTTCTTGTAATATTCAATCATCCTTGGAGAAAATTCCCAAACATAAAAAGAAAAAAAAAAAAAAAACTAAATTTTAGGAATATCACGAAGATGAAAAATATCACAAGCAAAAGAAATACTCCCAAAACATTTTTAAATGAAAATCTCACAAAAACTTGAGTGAAAAGAAACCTGATAAAAAAGAAATTTGGTGTTTCAAATGTGACAAAGTTGGTTGTTACACAAATCGTTGCACCACTAGGAAAGAACTTTGTGAGTTAAAAATCAATGTAGATTTAAAGTCTACCCTTATAAAAATTTTCTTACTTCTTATTTCGAATCCTCTGAAGAGTCTACCCTTTATTACTCTTCAAGTTTAGACTCTGACAATCAAGAAAGATCTGCTATAATAATGACTCGTACTGATTACTAAGAGGAAGGATTTTGTTGTTTGAAAATGCCTCCATAGTCAAGGTCTGATGTATATGTTTTAACTATTATAATATAAGAGGGATTTGCAAGATAATGTCCAAATGGAGTTGATTGTCAGTCCAAGGTGGAGGATTCTTTTTCAGTCATTGATATAATGGTGCAGCGTCAATAGCTAGATTTTCTTAGAAATTAAAACATAATTTAAAGCAACTAAAAATCATTGGAGTTGATTGTTATCCAAAATAATATAAAAAAAGTTATCAACAAATCCAATATTTATATTAATAGGGAGAATACAAGCATTATAAATTTTGTGTCCTAAGAAACGTATCTCGGTTTGAAAAAAATTAATTTTTTTGTTTGAGATAATTATATCATTTTTCTGAGCAAGCAATTTATATAATCTTAAATATTTAAAATGTTGTTTAATAGATTTAAAGAAAATTAGAACATCATCAATATATATAAGTATATAATCAGAATAAGGATTAAAAATATCATTAATAATTTTTTGAAATTATGAAGGAGTACTTTTTAAACCAAATGGCATCATATTCAATTCATAATGTCCAAATGGAACTGTAAATGCTATTTTGCATCGATCATATTCTTGGATTTGAATTTTCCATCAACCTGACTTTAAAATGAATTTAGAAAAAAATGAGAGCATTTAGTTAAACAATTTAAAAGATTGATTATTGAAGATTGGATGTCTAATCCATTTTAAAACTTTATTGAGTGCTTTGTAAAACAAGTGAGGTTCATTTTGCCTTTTTCAATATCATTCATAACATAAAATGCAATGCAACTCCAAGGTGACCGAGATTTTCTAATAAGTGATTTTTGTAAGAGATATGAAATTTCTTTTTAATTTTTTTTTAAATAATCTGTATTCATTTGTGAAGTCCGGTCCTTAGTAGGGATTTGATTTTAGTCTAACCCGTCTATGTACGTAGGGCAAAGCAACACAATGAATTTTATAATTCCAAAAATTGATTGGATTATCATCACATATTTCTGAAATGAATTCTTGATGAAGCTTAAATATCTTTTTATGTAATTGGTGGTGGTTTGATTTTAAGGATTTGCTTCATATTAATTTCTTTTTTAAGAAATTAAAATGAAATTTTTCTGATGAATTTTATTTATTTCATTTAGGACCATTTCTTTAGGATCAGAAATAAAAGAAAATTTAAAAGGTGGATTAAAATGATTAGAAATTATATCAATCGTAATAGTAGTAACCGACATAATAACCTCAAGTAAAAAATGGGTACCAAGGATAACATACTATGATAAATTCTTGAAAAGTAGAAAATAAGTGGGAATACAAAATATATCATGATAGATGGTGACATTAGTCAGTTTGTATTCTATCTGCATATGATCATCATTTGCTAACATTAATTATTGAGTGGTTTTCTTAAAATAGTTAGAAGGAATAATGCTTTGTTGAAAGCAATTCATATCGGCTCCACTATCAATAAGAATAGTCAAATTAAAGATAACTTCCGGTTTATTGATAATCCAATTTATGGTAATAAACCATTTTTGTAAAATAGCTCTCTGCAAAGATCCTATTATAGGAAGATTAGGATCAAGAGGGTCAATTAGGTTTTCATAGTTTTGTGGTGGAAGAGATTCATAAAGATTAGTAGCTTTCTAATTCTAGATTGCTAACACGATTAGAAAAAAATGTTTTGTTCATCCTTAAGAAGGCTAACTTCATCTTAAAGATGATTGATTTCGTATTTAAGATTAGCAATGGAATTTTAACTTGATTATGCTTCAACTTTAGAGCTTACTCTTTTATAAACTTCTTTCATAGAGTAGATGGGATAATCTTGAGTAGTAAAGAGAGATTTTTCTCTTTCTTCTCCTACAAGGAAAATAATCTTATCTCGAGTTTTAGGTCCGAGACTTGGCTATGAGTTTTTATAATTTGATCTTTTTGATCATCCATGAAGGTATATGTAAAACCCGAGAAATGCTGTTTTAGAGCTCGCACGCTTTTCAAAGCGCGACGACAAGTTTTAAGTGAAAAATTCGAGGTTGTCAGATTTCGACGGGTTTAATTTTAGAAAATCCTACGTAAAATTCTGATCAAATTGATATATAAAACTTATAGTTAATTTGAATTATTTTAAGAGATAATAATTTTAGAAGTTTCATAATACCGGTTTTGCCCCTAATCAAATGAACTACCGAAATTACTTAAGTAAGGGCAAGAGGGTCATTTGCAAACCTAATATCTTTAATATGAGTAAACCGAACCTCCCCTCCCCACTTTTCATTCGGCCGAACCGAAGGAGTTCGCGAAAAGGAGAGCAGGCGCGCGGAAGAGGAGCGGCGGGAGGCTTGGGTGGCTGCTCCGGCGGTGGAAATAGATTTAAGAATTAGAAATTTTAACCTACCGTCCGACCTCTGTTCCCGCCTCGCCTACGCGAGCTCACCGGGCCGGGTCATGACAGTATAAATCCTAGACATTTCAACAATGGAATTGTAATAGTCTTAACTCTTACAAGGGTTACAAAAGGACTTTGGGTGAGTATCAGCTTGATTGTTAGTCTAAATTGGAAGAGTAATAAAGGGAAGACTCTTCAGGGGATTCAGAGTCAAAAGTAAGAAGAATTTTCATACGGGTAGACTTTCAATCCACATTGATTTTTAACTCACTAAGTTTTTTTTAGTGGTGCAATGATTTGAGTAATGACCAATTTTGCCACATTTGAAACAACAAACTTCTTTTATATCGGGTTTCTTTTCACTCAAGTTTTTGTGAGATTTTCTTTTAAAATACTTCTTGGGGTATTTCTTTTGCTTCTGATATTTTACATCATCGTGATATTCTAAAAATTTAGTCTTTTATGTTTGAGAATTTTCATTGAGGATGATGGAATATTACAAGCAAATTGTTTATAAAATGATCCAAGTTGTTATTTTGTCAAGAATCCATTCTTTACGAATATGTTGATTCATTTTAATATTATTGTAGAGATCAATAACACTTTTAATACAATGCTTACTAATATTACCAAAGGTAAAATAATAAAAAAAAAAAATTCATGTATTATCGCAATTATTTCGTTTGACATTTTCAGCAAAGGTTGAAGGTAATTATTCAATAAATTTTAGTTTACAATAATCACTGCTAGCATCTGGAAGGTTCATAACCTAGAAAGGAATACATCCTTATGCCAAAGAAAATGAGTTGATGTTGGACATCTAAGTTTTTTTGTAATGGAGATCGCATCCCATCTCTATTATTAGTAACATATCCTATAAAATGTTCAAGAATATTTTGAATCAATGTATTATCTTCTAGCTTAGTATTGCTAAGAAGATTAGATCATTGATGATTAGTGAGATAATTATCCCACCATGCTTATCGAAATGTTCGGGCTTTATACCCTCATGAATGGTCAAAAAGATAAAATAATCAAAATTCTTAGTCAAAAAGATAAAATAATCAAAATTCGTAGTCAAGTCTCAGGCCCTTAAACTTGAGACAAGATTATTTACCTTTTAGAAGAAGAGAGAGAAAAATCCTGATCTCCTACTCAAGATTATCCATTCTATTTTATAAAAGAATGAACTCTAAAGCTAAAGCTCAATCTAATAAAACATCCATTGCCAATCTTAAATACGAAATCAATCATCTTCAAGACGAAGTTCGCCTTTTCAAGGATGAACAAAATGACTTGTCTAATCGTGTTATCAATCTAGAATTAGACAAATCTACTAATCTTTAAGAATTCTCCATCTTAGTTTGACATTTATACCAACACAAACAAAATAATCAAAAACATGTAAAAAATCTTCCTTACATTAATCTTGTAAATTCCTCTAATTTTTAAAATTGTCAAAACAAATGGATCAAGGCTTTCTCAAACTAGGGGTGTCAATATTTGACACGACACGAAAACCCGACTCGTACCCGACCCAAAAAATCCGGGTTGGACCCGACCCGGTTTCAAAACGGGTCGGGTTCGGGTTCCAGAAATCGACCCGTTTGAAAAACGGGTCGGGTTCGGGTTGACCCTCAAAAGAAAGAATTGGTAAGGATTACATCAGGTAAATGAGATTATGCTCAATTTAAATATTCCACGATTAAAAAGGTATAGTTAAATTCATCATGAAATTTCAAGCCAATTTATTAAATACTACTTTCCTTTTATGCATTGGATGTAGTGCATTCAAGTTTATTATTGAAAACGATGATAAAAATCTTGTTGCTAAACATATCTTTGCTCACTCGCAAGCTCAATTATATATACATATATATATTGAAATTGAATGTATTAAATATAGTTTAAATAATTTACCTAACTTCTCAACCTGAGAATATTTACAGGGATCCTACAGGTAATCATAAGAATTTGCCTCAACCCAATAGAGACACCATGTCTCGCCCTAATCGAGGCTTTGCCTCATTATAATCATAGCATTTTTTCTTGTGGAGAATGTTTCTCTCACAGTACAGAAAGAGGCAAATCCTCCTCTTCATAAATGATTCCTCTTAAATCTTACCTCTATGAGACCAATTTGCCCTCTCATGTAGAGAGATCAAGACTTATTGTTGTTATTGTTATAATATTTTACAACCAAACAAATAAAATCAAAATACAAAATGTTTAACTGGCACTATATTTAAAATACACATGCATCCTAAATACCTAAACACCAAGTAGAATCAAACCATGTTACATAATTTTATTTTGAGTAATTGTTTAATAGTACATACGATTGATAAAATGTGCTGAAACATGATTTTTTTTACTTATTTTTCAGCAACAAAAAGATTAAAATAATATATCAAATTTCATTAAAATTATATATAATTATACATCAATCAAATAAAAAACAGTTTAGATAATGAGAAATATTTAAATAATTCAATTCTAACAATTTCTGATTTATTTCAATTGAAATTTATGAATAACCTAAAAAGGCATCAAGAATTTGGTTTCAGACGCCTTTCGCATGGAATTTATAAAGTGGTATGTATGTAAATTTTTCTTAAATATAATACAAAAGATCATATCTAATATTTTCTAACCAAGTCTTTTTAAGCCTACATCTACGTTTCTTAACATAGGCCTAATATAATGCATATACTCTCCTAATAATGTCATCGAAAGGCCGATATTTTACAATTCCAAATCATTTAATGGAATGATTTGGAATTGTAAAATGCTCTGTTCCAACCTAGCACCCTCGGTTGGTACTCTGATTAAATGCTCTGTTCCAACCTATCATCATAACCATTACTCTGATTCCGATCAGCGTAAATGCTCTGTTCCACCAATGCTCTTTTAATGGTCAATATTTTACGCCATAAAATATTGCTGGTCTCACCACCATCTTATAAAATTTTCCCTTAAGATCGAGTGGTACTTTTCTATCACACAACAAACTTGAAGCATTCCTCCACTTCAACCATCCAATTTGAATTCTACTAATAATATCCCCATCTATTTCACCATCACATCTAAAACTGAGTGTACTTATATTTTGTTAAAAATTGTTATATGAAAGTGGTGAAATGGACTCACCATTTGGATGTTGAGATGGATTCTCCGATTGTGCCGATTTGAGTCTCTTTCCCCCTTCTTAGGCAACATTTATTTTCTCCTAGAATCCTCTTTGGTTTAGGTTCTCTATTCGGTCGGCCTCTCAAATCTGACTTGGCTACGGCTCGTATATTGGTTGAGTTGGATGTTACCAAGAAACATGCGGAGAAGATTTGGGTTGGATCTGTGGAATCTGGGTATGTTAAGACTGTTATCTTTGATGAAATTCCTAGTTTTTGTACACATTGTAGTTCTTTAGGTCATTCTAAGGAATCTTGCCCTATTTTACATCCGAATCGTAATGTGTCAAAAACTGTGATTAATCATTGCGAAGCGCCGGTGTTGGAGGAGCCTGTTGTTGTAGAAGCTCCAAATGAGATTGGTATGCTGGAGTCGAATGTGATGGAGGCGGATGTGCCTGGTGTTGATTCTGGTAGAGTGCAGGTCTTTAAGCCAATAGTTGAAATTTTGTTGGATAACACTAGGGAGGATATTGTTTTGGTGGAAAATGCGGTTTTGGTTGATGCTGAAGTTTCTTTGTCTCCAAATGCTCTGCCTTTTTTTCCTTCGTCTGTTGAAATTAATCAATTGGTTGTGAATGAGGGTATCAATCTGGTGCCGGATACCAATGTGAGGTTGGTTTCTAATGTTGTTATGCAAGAGTTGGTTCCTACCGAGGGTGCTAGGTTGGAACAGAGCGTTTACGCTGATCGGAATCAGAGTAATGGTTATGATGTGGTTCCTTTGGTGGGGGAACTAAATGCTAATAAGGATGTGCAGGGCATGTTGGTTAATTCTCAGAATTTGGTTACTGTTCCTGTGAAGTTAATGGAATCCCAAAATGTTTTGGGTAGTAAGTCTGAAATGGTTGTTGGGTCTCAATGTGACTGGTCGAATATTTCATCGGAGGATAACTGGGATTCTGAACCAGTTTCAGATCCTGATTATGATTTTAAGATGGTTTCGGATAGAGCTTTGAAGGGAGATCATCGTGGGAAATTTTGGAATCGTGGAGGTAAAAGAAGATGATCTGGTTTCCTTCTCTTAATTTTTGCGAATTTTCCGGTGGGTTGTTGCAGGGCGATGATGTGGCTGGGACTCCCATCCTCATTGACTTCCTTGTGGCAACCGACGGTGTTTCATTCTCTTCTGGATGGTCCTTGCGAGGTCTCGAGGATGTTTGTTGTTCTGACTGATTGCTGAGCCCTCTTTTGGATTGGTTTTATCCTTGTTTTGTTTTGGATTCTTTAGCTCTTAGGTTTTATTTTTATTTGTTGTTTTTTTAGAGAACTTGTGTTTTGTGTTGGTTTTGTAACCTCCATTTTATTAATGTTATTATCCTTTTATGAAAAAAAAAAAAAATGCTGCAAGCAAGCTACACAAATTATTTCATTTTCAGAAAAAGATAAAACTTCTACAGTTAAATTTATAGTGGTCGAAAATAAAAGCCCATTTCAAATTCACATGATGTTAAAAGGATCTGCAACCTAATAATTAAAGAAGAATGCAAATTTTATACTAAGTATAGTTTCACATAATTTATAATTACTCTTTGTTCCCTCGTCAACAACATTGGCCTTCTATCATTTTGTACAATCAATGAAATTTGCTACATTTTACATCATAGTCGTTCGTTTGCCAAACAGAATTAAAAACTTAAAAAAAGTAAAAATAAAAGCCCAAAGTTCCCATCTTTGCAGTGCAGCAGATACAATGAATTATTCAAAGCTCTGAAACACTACTTATGATCAGTAACAGCTTATCTGAACATGTTATCTATCTACGTTATAGATACCCTCTGGATACTCTGCTTTAGAAGGGCCAGACAAGAACCAGCTCTGCTTTAGACCGATTTTATGAAACATTTTAACGAGCCAGAAAATATTGAAAGAATTTGAGATGAGAGATCACAATTTTAACGTCTCTTATTCAGTTGAGGTGTTGGGCTCAAGTTGTGGAACTATAGCAGAAGAAAGTTCTAACCGCGAAACACGAACAGCTCCAATGAGCCGTTCGGGGAGCTCCTCATAAGTGTTTGCCTGTTTCAGACAATTTTAGAATGAGCAAAAGGCAGAGAAGGTTTTGTAGAAAACTGCAGCAGTAATTAAATGGAATGAGAGGATCCAAAGCATTAAGCAATTTTTTTAATTGACAGACATAAGCAGAAGATTAAAGCAGCAGACGGAAGCTTGGATACACAACGGGAAATAAATATCAATGTAACTTAAATAGCGTGGTGTTTACTTTCGGTTAGTCTCTTCAATATAATACAAATGTGTTGGAAAACCCAAAAAAGAGGACACCACGAAGTGCAAGAAAACTTCCCATATATTTTACTTAATGCTTTGATTATATCTGAGATAACCCATTAACTATATTAAAATAATAGATATGAATTACCCTAATGTTATTATTAATTCTTATACATTACTTGTGTATTTTATTTAGTCCAACCTCATTAACAATGATTGTACTTCAAGAAAAGGGGAAGGAGTCCGTATGGCAGTAAGAGTGGGTGACTATCTTTCTTTTATTATACATATTTTTTGAATGCGCTTAGAGATTCACATGTAAACAGTACAAAGACTTTTGGGGTATGTAAATAAATTTTAAAGATTTTAATAAATCTCAATTTAAATCAAGATGTGTATTTATTTGAGGTATTATATATACTTCCTATTATGAAAATCTTGATATGCTATGTTTAAATAGTGTTAGGATAGTTTGAATAGACTACTTTTACTTATCCAATTATGATATCAGCATTTCAGAGTAGGGTAAGTACGAAGAAGGTCTGTTCAGATTCTTCTTCTCTGTTACACTCTAGTTTGACTATAGAGGGGTCAAAATGGGGTGTGACAATCTTCACCTCTTCTAGCCGGCGGCAACACCCAGACGAAGCCTTCCCCATCTGCTGCAAAACCTCTACAACCGGCCTTCCTTTGGCCTCGACTCCAGACCCGACGTTGAACTTCTATCGCTACTTCCAATCCCTTCCTTTAGCTCTGCCCTAGCCGCAAGACACGCGAACAGCCGAACATCTCCATCCGACCTCCTGCATTGGACTTAGCCGCTACTTTTTCCAAACCTGTAGAACTTAGACCTCTTCGATCTTATTCTAGTTCCTGTAGTCGAACCTGCTCATCCACTCATAGCCATTTGATCCTCCTCTAGCCCATCTCAAAGCCCATTAATACCAAACCCGAACCCAAACCATATGGCAAACGGGTTGACCTAAACCCAAAAATTTTCAGGTCGGGTCCGGGACGAGTTTTGGGTCGTGTCAAATTTTAACACCCCTATTCTTAAAGAACTCAATTTTTAATTTTTAAAGCAGAAAGCGCATGACATCCATAATTTACTTTTAAACCCCAAGGTTCGATCATTAGAGAGTAAAACTAGAGATTACTAGGAAACAATTGATTTGAAAAAAAAGTTTGGCTGATGATTATCAAGCAAAAATTACTGCTAATGCATGAAATATTGGCTCACCATAAACAGTTGGGATGTCTAATGATAATGAACATCATTTGTACTTATAGGGAAAAAATATTTAATGAACTTCTGCTCCATAAGAACTTAGCTAGCATTTACTATATTAAGGGGATCTAGAACTTCATTTTAACTTAGATAAAAGAATCTATGTAGGTACCTGTATAAGGAAGGCCATGTCGACTACCAAAGTAGTAATCACACCAAAGACTAATCCCAGAACTCCATTAGCTACAGTGGAAGAACCAATGTCAATATCAATCTGCAAGAATCAACCCTGTTAGAAATCTCATTATCCAACTTATGCTATGATGACATTTCAGTTATCAAAGAAATCAAAGAAACCATTTTGTGTTATATATAACCTATTTCTTTTTTTCTTACTTCCAAGTATTTTGGTCCACGAATATAGGTACAATCAACTGCTTTTCCTAGTAAGCATGGGGTGCTTCCGACACTTTGACGAACTATCCAAGAACCCTGAAAAAAAGAAGCAGCTGGATTCATGTCAACAAGGCCTGGCACAAAACTAGAATCAGCGCAATCAATAGAAAGAAAATAGCAAATATAACCTTAGGAACAGAGGGGATTAGCTTGAATCTACTGTTTCGGAATTCATCATCACCGTCAACAAAATGTTGCAGCAATGACCCAGAAACTAGTGGTTTTGACACAAAATAAAAGACCATACTGTAATGGGTTGAACCTGGAACCTGCAAAATAAGAGGTTATTCTATTATGATAAACAAAGGACCTACGTAAACAACTGCAACTAGAGGGGGGAAAAAGCAATTTTAGTATCGCAGCAAGAATTTTGGTCAGCTGCACTTGAATGAAACATACAGAGATCAAGCTATTTCACAACATCACTTGCAGATGTTAGGAGGCGGAAGACTTCAAACCAAGCCAATTGATCATAAATGCATCAACAAGACGTTAGTAAGGTACCAGACAATCTTCAATTCTCCCTACAGATTAAATCTAAATAGATCATTGGTTACAATTAGTTGCCATATTTTCAAACCTTAAAATTCCAAAAGCACATCATCCAGAAAAGTTTATCAAATTTTATTTAACAACAATCTCTATATACAGAGCAATAATTAAAATGGAAGATCTTTCTGTTGAAGATTAAAATACCAGGAAAAATTTTCCATTTCCAAAATGGAGCTCTCACCAAATTATGAAGATATTTTTTATAGATTAAAAGTTTCACCAAATTTACTGAGAAAGCATTCATAAAAAGGTAGAAGGATTGGTAGATCTGAAATTTTAAAAGAAAAATAGTTCAAAAAAACAAGAATACCTCAATGTTGAAATTCAAGCACCTAATTTGATACTCTGCGAGTAAAGAAACAATAAAAACACTATCCACTTATTTTTCTTTAAACATAGAGAAATAAAGCGGCAAGATAGGTTGTTCAAAATTTTATGTTGAACGGATTGCATTTCTGAGTCTAAATTGGGCAAGGGTATCTCCTTTCGGACTACCCAAGCTAGAAAGCTCAAGCGTTCATAAACCAAATCAACTCAACCAAGCCCAATAAAACAAGATTAAGGCTCAAAACAATAGTTTGATTCTTAGGCTGGCAAAAACTTGGTAAATTTAAAATGGTATAAAACAATTAGTAATGTTTAATGACTGGATGAAGAGAAGAGAAAGATTGTTAGACTAGCCAAAAAAATGTGAAGTAACCAAACCAAACCATTTGATTCCCATGTAAGAATGCATAAAGAGAAGAGTAAGCAAATACTCACTTGAACATTTACGACCAAAGTGAACAGTCCTTTCTCAGAGGCAACCTGCATCAGCAAATCAAAGGAAAGAAGTTCTCACAAGGTGTAAATGCAAATGTCACCGTTCCAAAAATAGTTGCATTGCAAGCTAAAGCGTTTCTCCATTCATAACGATAAAACGAAGAAAAGAAAAAGCAATTAAACACTGAATAGACATATACTCTTATATACTTGAGGTACTGATACGTTCACAAAACTTGCACAATTATATTAAATAGATTTGAAAGAAATCCCATAAGAAAGCCTTCTGCCTCAGCAGATTCTTCAAGGTTTGATTCTACACAAGTATGAATTCTTGCAAACTTTCCTGACTTTGTAGCTTTGAGAATTTGTTTTCTTTAAATAGAATTGTATGCTGCAAGTAATCATATAACAACAGGAAATCCAATAAGCATTCCATTACTTGATCTCCATAATCTGGAGCACACTGCAGTTAAGGTCCGCTGCAGTTTGAATCAAATAACACCATAGGAGGGCTAAATTTTTTTTATCAGTGGGCATTCCATGGAATGTTAAAGAGTTGATGGTCCAACAAAAACAGCTTTAGCACTGCTGACCTAAATCTCTAGTAATTGGGTATTAAGATTTCAAGTTCAGCTGTACGTGTATAAAGTTTCTGGCTAAAGCTGGGCCTAAAGTTTATAGTTTACGGTTAAAATTTGTTGGACTTGGGCCTCGTAACCTTTGCCTGATAAAAAATTAACTGTTTTGCAATCCCATAGAGATCAACACTGCCTCTAACAGACAAGCCCAAATAAGGGCATAGGTTGTAGAAGATTTCAGTTAGCCATCTCAAAATTCAACTTCCTTATAGGATGAATATTGCAAAGTCTGCACTCTAAAATTGTTAAGATTATTTACCAAAAGTACAGTAAATGAACTACCTTGCCTCAATATGGAAGGCATAGATGACACGCAAAAGGCAATTTGGTTAGTAGTTGCAAAAAAATATTCAAATAACCTGAAACTATGACCAACACAATAAAATACAACTAGTGTTGATGATGGCAAACCCTTTCAAGAATATATTTTTCCTGACGATAAGATAATTCTAGAGATAATCTAATGGACCTGAAACTTCATTTGGCCAGTCACTTAAAGTTTAAAAAAGGAAAAACGTTAAACTCACTTTTTTCCTTCAAAAGAATAATTTTGCGCCTAGCATGAAGCAACGGTACTCTTACTACATCTACATGTTTAAGAGAGTATGCAATAATAATATGATCAGCAAAGGTAAATCTGTAACCACAAATAAATATTTCACCTTTTTCTACCCACATAGCAAATTTATGGAGGCCCAGACAGACAAATAAATCTTAGACCAACGTTTATGACAATAACTTCATCAAATTAAGGGGTTGTTTGGTTGGAAGTAAAATGGATATAAAGTAAAGGGAATGCAAGGGTTTTGAAAAGTTTAGTGTTTGGTTGGATGAAAAAAAAAATGCAAAGTAAAGCATAATAAATGTAGCGTAAAATCATTTAGCGCATTTTTGAGGTAAATGGTTCATCGCAAGCAAGCTCGGCCACAACCAGCAACCGCGACCCTCCAGCCGACCACAGCCGCCCTCCATCCACCTCCACCCACCATTGAACACCACCGCCGCTGACCACCGGCCGCCGGAGCTGCCACCACCTGTCGGGCGCCACCATCTTTAAACTTTATACTACATTAATTTTACTTCAACCAAACAAAATGAATTTACTTTACAATCATCCAAACAACTTCAAAGTATTCATTTTACACTGTATTCTTTTTTTTTTTCCCCTTTTTTTAGCCAACCAAGCAGCCCCAAAAGAATTTCAATCAGGAGCTAGCAGATCAATTTCAAAACCATATGAAATTAATAATAAATTACATTCAAGAAGTACGTGGTCACTATCATATTTCATAACAAAAAATGTGAAAACACTAGATTTCAGAAAACAGATCGAACTAGTATTCATCTTACCTGAACCGCACAGCCTTGTCTCCTCGCAACATGGTCCATCCTTTTCACATCCTTGAACCAATCAACTGCTACAAGCTTCATAAAAGGCTTGCCTGCAGGTATCTGCAAGACAAAACCTATTCCATGATCAAAAGAAGCTGGAAAAGGCACTTCTAAGCTCAGCACCAAAAAAAAAAAGTTTTTTTGTTCAATATGGTTATTAATGACCTTTGTTTTGTCATAACAGAACGTCTTGCCACGGACTTTGAAGTTGTTTCCATCAGGCATTCTCCAACAATCTCGAATATTATCACGATCATCACGTCGTAAATTGCCAGAAAAGGATGACAAATCAAGCTGATCCAATGGATCCTCATCTGGACATATCATTGAAATAATCACATTATAGACATTCTTTTAAGTGCTTCTGACTAATGGCATAACCACAACAGGATATGCCACGAACCTGGTTGCTTCACAGCATTCTCAGCCTTGACTGAGTCCATCTAGCAAAAGCAAGGTATAAATTTTCACTTATGCAGACAGAATTTGAAGAAAAAAAATATGCATTACACACATATTAAGTCTACCAACCATTTCTTCAGGTTCGTGAATCTGGCAATCTTCATCCTCATCTGATTCTTCATCCAAAGGAATTGACTGATTAGAGTAATCATGGCTTTTCCCTCCTTTCTTGGAAGAAACTGAACCTGAAGATATGCTCATCATAACTGGTATCCTTGGAACTGTGTGAGTTTCATCAGTTTGGGAAAACCATTCACGCAAACCTGCGGAAGGAAGAAACAAAATTTGAAATGAAAAAAAGAGTAATCATTATGACGTACATGAACAAATACATCTACTGCTAAGGCGCAGAAAAATAAACATCCTTTCAAGAATTAGAGAATTGAAGGTACTTGAGCGACTTAGAAGTAACAAAAGTAAATAAAAAAATTAAAATAATCATGCTAAAGACCACAATTGTAGTTTTTGATTAATTATATTATAAGTTTAAACAACCAAATTGAGCTACTAGTGGAGAAGAGGAGCACCAGCTACACTGTTCAACATCTGAATCAAACAATGTTGCTGAAATGATGGAAAATAACCAACACCCCATCCTTTTAAATCAATTTGCATGAGATGTTCAACTTTTGTTCGAGTTCTCCCATTACGGGATTTTAGAGGAGAAATGTTGAATCCACCACCTACACACAAAGGAGAAGCTAAGCATTTGTAGATATTATTACAAATTACAGTTTCAAGGACATCTAAATTTTGCTCAATGCCCTTAACATCAGATTATGGAGCAGAAAATAAAAGGTACTCTCAATATGGGCCCTGACAAATCCTGGTTGTGCGCTGCAATTTGGATGCTCCCTAGACCGAAAAAGCACAACTGCATAAACGAGCAACAGGGCATTTACACTAGATGGATGTGCCCAAGGGGAAAATGGAAGGGGTAAACTAACTGCAAGTCTCACCATAGCTTCCATCATCATTACGTCTCCAATAACGCACATAGCACAGATCACGTGGCCACACAAGCCTACAAAATAAGTTAGTTTAGCCCAGCATAATTATTGCCATCATGTTTAAGATATCCGGCACATGTAGGAGAACAATCATATTATGGTAGAGAAGCAAAGAAAATAACAAGATAGAACGCAATGAGTATCTTTAAAAATAAACCAACATCACTTGTTTCTAAAAGTGATTGTATCTTTAAAATTAAAGAAGACCCATGTGATCCTACTATGAATCATTGATTTTGTACAATGAACATTCTTCCACTTTTCTCTAATGGTGATTTGTAAAGAAGATATACATAATATGACGAGCGAGCGAACTATAGTTTTAAAATCTTACTCCAATGAAATAGTAACTTCGTCCTCCATTTATATGTTCAAGGAAGTCCCCTTGCTTATATTCTAAAGCCAAATGTAAAAATCCTCATGACAACTCCCATGTAGTCTCCTAATGCCTATTTGTTGGCTACTTTTCTTTATATTAAAGTATTTATTAAATTGGAGCCTCATAGAATCCTTTACATGCAAAATGCCTTGCTACTGGATAACTTCGTATAAGTTTGCTGACATTGCTGATGCTGCCGTGCCAATTCTTTTACTTTTATATTCTTTCAGATCAATGTTTATATCTAAGTATTACGCTTTCTTTATGCAAAAGTGGTTTTTAGTCGTTGTTCCTTTACACTGAAAAAGGTTCAATATTCCAGAATCAAGCCGCTGATGTGGGAGGAAATATTTTTCCAACTCTTCAACCACATGATTAAATCTGCAAGTTATGCACGTAAGCTTATTTAGCAGTAGGCCAACCTGCAAAATAAAATTTTGAATAGTGGAAAGCATCATGATCAAGCATGCAAAGTATATATTCTACTTCTAGAAACCATAAAAAATTCTAAAGCTCTCTTCAGCTCTTTCACTTCTGAATATCACAAACCCTCATACATCTTGACTACGCTGTCATCTTCTTTCAAATGTCAATTCCAACTCCATTCAAGAGATGCAATCTCCAACCACAATCATAGAACCAAATGCCTAAAGGTTATCCATCAAAGTTGTAACTTAAGAAAAAATTCAGCTAAAAAGTTTAAGCTGAAAATGCACTTCAAATTAAGGTACAGCAAAGGGAGAAACACATTCAGGAGTTGCAGGAAATTGGAGAGTTTATTAAAGAAGAATAAATCCATATTGCTATGGTTTCTAATTCACAGCATAAGAAGGAGATTTTGGCAGACCAATAATTTTATCAACCAGATCCTTTATTTTATCAATTTTAAGATTGCAAGCAAAACATGTAGTATTTCAAAGGAGTAAAAGTTAACTATAAATGCAAGGTCTGATAATATCAGAATTACATGCAAGTTATCAAACTCAATTAGCTACAATCATTTTTTTCTAAAAAATGTACTGAATGCTCACTCAAAGAGAAGAAAAATAATACGCGCATCAATACATGGTGCCGGCAATTATTTTCTGTACCTACATGTACCTACTTTTTTTCACCAATTCTCATGGATTTTCCAAAGTTCCAACATCAAGGGCAATCACAACTTATTAATAATGTAGCCAACTTGCTAATGCTTGCATTGATCTCATATACCAATCAGAATCTACACTGGCATAAAAAATCAAACAGATGCAAAAAAGACTGCAGCATGACTTCTGAAGCAGCTTGATAATATCATCATCATCATTAACATGCTAAATAGGTGACCAAAAGTTGGTGTATAGCATGATCAATAGCTTATTGTGTTCAATGTATCATGAAATATGGAGAACAATAGTGTCAGATATCTATGAAGAGGCTGAGCTAGTTCAACCTCGGCTCAAGATCATACTAGGGTTGCCTTGGATGGCTAATAGCTCAAGCCATGTCAAACCTTAAAAAACAGACTGACTAATTCAACCTCAAGCAGGCTTCAAATCACTTTCAGTTATTCATAGAACAATTTTTTATCTCATCTTTTAGCTCAATTTTAGATAGAAACTCATCTCAGATTGAATTCTCTGCATCTTCAAAATCAGAAGACTGTGGACTTTTAAAATAGGGATAAATGCATTCAACTGATGGCTCAAAATTAAAAATATGCAGTGAAGAGGACTGACACCGGCTCCGACTCCTCGAAGGGTGGCTGCTGGTGACTCTGAGCTGGATGTCCCCGGGTCTCTGCTTACTCCTTCGCCTGGTAGCTTGAGAATTCGAAGCAACCTGCGGGCGGGAAAAAGAACAGAGGAAAAACAAAAACAGAACAATCTGTTTTGGATAATACCAAATGATAACCTCCTTTATTTACAGAGAACAAAACTATTTATACATCAAAGAAAGAGGCTAAGCACTGTAGCCTAATATAGCTACAGGAAATGAAAATTAAAAAAAAAAACAGAGGTAGCCGTTAGCTCCTACGTCATTCACCCGGGGTGGCAAGGCAATCTTCCAAGTCATAGTGGGGAGTTAGATCAGACACGTTGAAGATGGCCGACACATTATAGTTCCCTGGAAGCTCGATCTCATATGCATTGTCATTTATCTTTCTGAGGACTCGAAACGGTCCGTCCGCTTTGGCCTTAAGCTTTCCGAACGGCCCAGGGGGAAATCGCTCCTTCCTCAGCTTTATCCAGACCTTATCGCCGACTTCAAAGATGACTGGCCGTTTGTGCTTATTGGCTAGTTTTTGGTATTTGGCATTCTGTTGGGCGATCCGAGTTTGCACTTGTTGGTGTAGTCGTTTAATTTCTTCACTGCGCTGCTCTCCTTCCTGACTGTAAGAAGAATTTGACAATGCGGGTAATAGATCTAAAGGAGTCAGCGGATTATTACCATAAACAATTTCAAACGGACTGTGTCCCGTCGACTGGTTGGGGGAGCGATTGAATGCGAACTCAATTTGAGGGAGAATGAGATCCCATTGCTTCAAGTTCCGGCCTACAAAACAACGCAGTAGATTCCCTAAGCTGCGGTTAACAGTTTCAGTCTGTCCATCCGTTTGCGGGTGGGCGGCGGAGCTGAACTGGAGTTTAGTGCCTAACTTCCCCCATAGTGTTCGCCAAAAGTGACTGAGGAATTTGACGTCTCGGTCGGAAACAATGGTTCTCGGAATGCCATGGAGGCGTACTATTTCTTTGAAGTAGAGGTCTCCAATGTGAGTGGCATCCAAAGTTTTGCTGCAGGCGACGAAATGAGCCATCTTCGAGAATCTATCGACGACGACCATCACTGAGTCCTTATTTCGCTGGGTCCGTGGAAGTCCAACGACGAAGTCCATGCTAACATCATCCCATGGCCGAGAAGGAACATGTAAAGGAGAGTATAGTCCGGCATTGGTGAGCGATGTTTTCGCTCTGTTTCAGGTTTGACAGCTTCGAGTATACCGACCCAC